ACCTGACAGAAACAAGTGCAGAGAGAACCACAGTTAATTCTGATGTTTTCAACAGTTTCAAATTCAGACATGTGGGATTCTTTTGCTTGCTCCAATTATCATGTCCATTGCAATTTTAATTCCAGCTGTCACATGAAACCGAGTTTCATTGACCAGGTCTGAATTATTGCTGTTGTTTCAGTGCAGTGTGCGACACCTTAAAGCTGCAAGGCTGTGGTCTGTCTGATGTTTAGTTCACACCCTCCTTCTAAATTTGCTTCCTTGATCAGTTGGCTATTACCTGTGCCACACTTCTGGGAGTGTTTTTTAAAGGCAAAAATTAAAACACACCTCCGCCCTTTTGGCACTGGATAGCAGGTCAACGAAATCGAACTGTACGGATTAATGTCACACTTCTCCAATTAATGCCTGCTTGGCGATTACAATATTTTCTGGTCTCTGACGAGTCTCTGTTTGTTCTCGTCTCAATACCTTTGAGGGAAAAATGTGACAGATTCAATGAATTTTGATGTTAAACTATTGAGCCATTTGCTATTGGGCTGCTACCCGACTAGCAAATGACGCTAATAGCTGAAGGCCTTGAGTGACCAAAGTTGTTAGCTCAGTGAGGGTTTTAGGTGCATTTGAGTTTTGGTCACTTGCAGAGCGCTGGTTTGTGTCATCAGAGTGTGGCTGTCTGCGTTTTTTGAAATAGGGTGGAGGTCTGCCTCTGCCCAATGACCAGCACTTCTCCTCTGTATGGCCTGTTTTGTGACAGGAATTACAGAGTCTGCTCAGTTTTTCACCGTGCGGCTTTCTGAATTCTCCTGCAAATGGAGGATTTTCATGACATTCTAACACAGCTACCTCACCATGCATCTGTTTGCGTGACTCAAGTCTTGTTGCCCAGCTAACAATACCTTCGAATGTATTTTTTGCTGGAGAAGCACCATACATGAGCGATTGTTGTACACGCGGTCCTGCATTTGTAAGTAGTAAGTCAAGGAGAGTTACATTGTTGTGGTTAACACCTTCAATTCCAGAATACTCCTCAAACAGTTCAAACATTTTTTCTGCATATGTCTCGAACGATTCTTCAGTACTCTGTTTCCGATTGAAAATCAATTCCCATCCAACAGGACTACAACCGCGCAGATCGCGAAGACATCGTTTTAGTCTATTAAAGATTTCACCCTCAGGCTCATCTTGATACACTGACTGCACAATGTTGCCTGTCATCAAAGCCTGTGGTATCTTATAGTTCAGAACCTCTGGAATTGAGCTGATAACAATTTGCCAAATATCTTTTGGTTCAAGCTGAAATGCATGTTTTAGACTAACAATGCGTCTCCACCATGGTTCGAATGGCTCTTTCAAGGGCAATGGTCCGATCTCTGCTTTAAACAAGCTACATTCAGTTACCGTTAGAGGACGCCGAATGGTTGACTCTGTGCCATTTGGGTGCCGTATCACCTTAAAGGCTGAAACAGGCACTCTGTTCAAAACTCTATCACATGCTTCACCTGTCTGAAAAGATACAGGATTGTTAGGGCAGGCGGGCTCATTTAAGAAGTGCACATTTTTAGTCCCATCACTGTTGAGGTTTTTGGGAGACATGGACTTTTTAGCATTTAGTTTAGTCTTAAGATCTGCGATGGTGTATTTGTGATTTTTACACTTTTCAGTCAGGGCTAACTGCTCAGCTAGTAATTTATCTAGCTGTGTTTGAAGATCTTGAATCTTTGCCTCAGACATTTTTGCCTCTGCATTTTTAGAATGCACTTCTTCACATTTAACATCCATAAGCGAAGATAGAAATGTTGTTGACTTATCTAGCCGTTTATAACTTATGAAGTTTAAAGCCTCAATTATTTCACCATGTTTTGATTTCTTCTGTTTACTACCCACGGTTTTCCACCAAGTGACAATTTCATTGTCAATAGCGTCCACGTTAAGACCTTTTTTACTGAGTTTGTACAGTGTAGGCTCGACCTTTTCGGCCCACAATGTAAACAGGGCAGGATCATTATACATGTTCCAATTTATATTTGGGGAAATTTCGTTCCCTGAAGCTTTGAATATGAAAAGGTTTTTTGTTTCAGGATTAATGAGACGCGCGTTTGTGGTTTCTGACTCTCAAATTCATTGTGCATCACATTATAACCACATTCAGCATAGAGACACATGCGTTTAATTCAGTTCACACAGGATACGCGGCCTAGAATACAACATCAACAGCCTTTACCTAAGTGTTCCAAATACACAAACAGTAAAGCAATCCTGTGTTTAAAGAATAAACTTACAATTAGCCTATGTGCACATATGGTGGCACAAACAACTATCAAGTGTGTTCTAGGAGTGCATTACAATGTTTAAAGCACAACTCCAAATTTGAAAATACAAATTATTGCATTATTGCCTTTTAATCCCATCTGTGTTAAAGTGGAAGCTTTCAAATGCAATATAGAGTTTGTCAAGATTTGTTTAGGTTTAGAATATTATTCAATGTGGCTTTTGTGCCCAGCGGTGGGCTGGTCACACAAAGAGTTAAGCGTTTTTTTTTTTTTTTTTAATGCAGCATGGCTTTAGCATTTAGCATTAGCTTAGTTTTTAAGTAGCATGGGCAATACTAGCATTTAGCCTAGCCTCGTTTTGGAGGCAGCATGGCTTTAGCATTTAGCATTAGCTTCGTTTTTTAAGTAGCATGGGCAATACTAGCATTTAGCTTAGCTTCGTTTTGGAAGCAGCATGGACAATAACATTTAGCTTAGCCTTGAGATCCGATTTTAGCCTGTAAATAATATCATCATGTTTTACCAAATTTAGCTTTTTATAAACAATGCATCGATCTGCCTTTTTATTTATAAAATCACGTGTTCTCCGATTTTCTCCATTTACAAACTTAGATTTTTCTTTCTGTTGTTTTCCGATTCTCTTATTGTTGCTAGTTCGTTTCAACAAAGCCAATACCACAATGGCGACAAACATGCGGCTGTTTTGAAAACTTTTAGGCTGTTTTACAGCTCCTCATCAAGTAACGTTACACGAAAAACATTTAGAAGATGTTATTCCGATTTTAGGTTTCGTTTTTTGTTGCTTAGTCAAACAAGGATATCTTTAATCTATTAACAAGGGTTTTCATTCTTCATCTGCGCTGTCGCTTATCACGTCCTCACGTATTTCAGTTCTGGACTAAACAAAGGGATTTCCTATAGCTACCCATAACAATGCAACTCAACACTTCACAAGAGGAAGAAAAAAATGACTTACCCCAGCGGCAGAAGAAAGTGAAGATGTTCAAACCTCATGCTGCTTTTAAAATCCCCATACTTTGCTGGAAAAGACGTTGCTCGCGAATTCATCTGTTGCGATCACGTCTCGGGGGTCGCCAATTTGTAAGGCCTGCTAATTCGATCCAAGGGCGGCATTCAAATTAGCGGTGAAGGTCTCAACGTGTTCCGTCTCTTCCAATGGCAAAGGGATATTTAATTAAATGCAATACTTTTTGTCTTATGTATTAACTCGTTTCATCTGACTCCATAGAATGAAAGTGTTTTAATGATATCTGTGCATCATTAAGTATACGTTAATGTTTGACTATTCCTTTTAACTCCAATGAAAATAAAGTCAAAGTCTGTTAGAATAATCAAATATAACAATTTATTATGTCAGGTAAATGTATTATAACAATTTCATAATCAGTTCAAATATCATCAATACAAAACATCAAATACCCTGGAATACAGAGAATAGATGCAAACCCAACATATTAAGAAATAGACTACATGAGCTAAGGGTCTCGGTGACCCTCATCTCACGGGCTATCTGCAATACAGAAAAAGCCACGATCCCTTGCTGCCTTCCATTAAATAGCCAGAACTTCTTTTCAATGGTAATTTGCATTCAGGTTACACCTTATTTGGGGGGTAGGGGAGAAAGGCCATTTGCTACCTTTCTTGGTGCCAGTTTCTCTAAACTTCTAAAAAACCTTATTACCTTTTGTTTTACTTATTTGGAATGAGACATTTGTACCACTCATTCCTGAGACATTTCAAATGATACCAAACATAATACTCAATGATAATCATTCACATCAAACCATACATATATTCTTATGTGAGTTTCAGCTGTTACTGGGTGAAATGTAAATCAGGTGAGACTGCGTGAGGGGGAGGTCGAATGCTATTTCAGCAAGTTCCTTTGTTTCAATAGACCATGTGGTCAAGACAGTGTCTCCAACCAGTTCTTACAAGGCCAAATGTTCATTTGCCAAGGTCCTTTGTCTCAATAGACCATGTGGTCAGATATTGTCTCTTCAACAAGTTTTGTGGTCAGATATTTTCTCTTCAACAAGTTTTACGGTCTTACAGTGATGTAACTTGTAAAGCTGTGTTTTGTAGTCTATAAAGCAGACAGACTCTTCACAACATATACTGTTACCCATGGTACTCAACATGGCCTGTTAGCCTTGTTTTTGGTGGCTATTTTTGAAATTATATAATTATAATGATAAGAATTGACATCTAACAGTGCACTTAATAGAAAACCTATGCAATATCATTCAAAACTCTATGCAATATCATTCATGAACTCTCATGAGCTCATCAGTCAAACCAGAACAATAAATGTGAAATATTATATGTAATTAATTATCCATATATATATATATAAGTGCCCTAAGTGGACTACACTGGACGTGACAAAGCGACTGTTGCAGATCCATTTGTCCTTTGTGTCAGACGAACCCCATAAATACGGTGGACGGTGAATCAGTTTACTGTCGGGATTTGTTGTGTTGCATCGCACTGCATCCAGTGTAAGCAGAATCACTGATTATAACTGGGCTCTATTGTATTTAGTTGTGTCGTATACGTTGTGTCGCTCGCGTCAGATACGGTGAAGGGGAGGGGTGCATTTAAAAAAAAAAGATTTAAAGCTTTTTTTAAAGGGCCGTGACCAAAAAGTTTGCGAATGACTGATTTAGATGAGGAGTAGATTGATCATTTCTCTTCTCTTCACAGGACCCCCAGTGAATGTAGCCATGGCTATTGAAGTAGCCAGTATTGACCATATCTCAGAAGCCAACATGGTAATGCTTGAAAATCACACTATTTCGCATGTATTGAATTTGTATGATTATTCAATATTTTTGCCATTAGTGTAACTAATCTGCAGTTTTGCATTTGCTAAAAGTATCATTTGAATATATATTTTTCTTTTAAGAAGTATTTTCTTTTCCATATAGAGTGGATTCAGTTCCAGAATAATAAATAAAATAAACAGTAGGATTGAGTCCAGTGCAATATATGATTCTAAATATAATCACCTCTTATTAAATGCATTGTTTGGTCACACTTTAGTTTAGGGTCCGATTCTCACTATTAACTACGGCTTTTGCCTCAATAAACTCCTAATTACTGCCTATTAATAGTTAATAAGATAGTTGTTAAAGTCCCCCTGTGGTGAAAATCCAGCTTTTAATGTTGTTTATGTGTCTATGTGGTGTTTTTAATATGCTTTAAGACAAACCATGTGTAAGTTCATAAGTCGACAGCATTGCTGAGTATTTTCTCCTTAAAACTGCAGTGAACCAAAGACAGTCTCAAAAACACGGTTTGAAATCGCTGGTGTTTCTGACGTCACAAACGACCTTGTAACCAATCAGATCAACGTGTGATCGTCAACCAGTGGATCTCTGAGCTGAGTGAGTGAGTGGAGGCGGGGCTCAGTTGCATATTCATAGAACCGCGCATACTAAATGAGGCAAGGGTGTCGAGTTACATTCAAGATGTTTTAAGACATGAAGGATTTTTTTTTCAAGGAAAAAACATTTAAATATGTAATTTTGGTGACTTTAACTTTAGGATTAAAGGATGTAGAATATGTTCATGCAGAATAAGGCATTAATATGTGCTTTATAAGTACTAATAAACAGCCAATATCCTAGTAATATGCATGCTAATAAGCAACTGGTTAATAGTGAGAATTGGACCCTAAACTAAAGTTACCCATTATTTTTTGTTGACAAGTACAGTTATGACTGACACACAAGTTACTGTGATCACTGAAACAAAAATGTGTACCCGTGATTTAAATGTGAACCTGTCCCAAATTAAAAGTCTACGAAACAAAACAAACTTAAAATCATGCTGTTAAAAAGATATGGAAATCAAGTTGATTTGTCAATCCATCTTTAGACTTTTCAACCATTTTCGCCCAAAAATCATCTACAGATTTCTTTAATTGGTTATTTCTGCAGTTGGTTTGCTTGGCCCTGATATTTGCTATAATAATAATTAGAATCATCATCTATATTAATTATTGATTTACCACTTTTAAGGGGGGTTTATGAAGAACAAGAACACACCATACTCATGTTAAAATCAGTGATTTAAATTAAACCTGTCTTTAAATAAGGACAATACACAACAATAACTCTCAACATCATAAACCACGGATTTTTTGTTTGTGTGCATTTGTGTCTACAGGAATACACCATGACAATATTTCTGCGGCAGAGTTGGAAAGATGACCGCTTGTCCTACAACCACACAAACAAAACTCTGGGCCTGGACAGCCGCTTCGTAGACAAACTCTGGGTGCCAGACACATTCATCGTGAACGCCAAATCAGCCTGGTTTCATGACGTTACTGTGGAGAACAAACTCATTCGCCTGCAGCCCGATGGAGTCATTCTCTACAGCAGTCGGTGGGCTACGAGTTTTAAACCTCTTTCACGTGAATTTGTGCTTTTGTATTGGCAATAATGTAGAAGGACTTTGGGTGAAACAGTAAAGCTAGAATGTTGACAGATTACAGTAAAGGGGAAGAAATCAAATCATAACACTAATGTTTATGTTCACAACTAGGGTTGGGTATCGTTTCCTAATTTTGATTCCAATAAGGTAAAAAAAACAACACGCAGATATCATTCAGATTTAGTCTTACTGCAAAACATTTAATTGTAGCTGAATATCATGAACAAAAATCAACAGGCTAAAGAACACTTTGCCTGTGGTTTAAAAACACCATAGAAAAACAACTAGCCTGACTAATATACATGTAAAGCATTATTAAAGACAAGTAAACGCTCAGTAATTAAAAAAGAACAAATAAAAAATTAGCAATCGCAACAAATAGACACAACTGAACAAAGATACAACTGAAATAAACGTTTTTTAAGATTTTTAGGTATTCAGGTACAGAATTTGTAATCAAATGTAAAATATATTTACAAAATATACATTACAAATATAGTTACAAAAGCTATTCAGTCAAGAACGAGGGACTTTTCTCTTTGTCTTCTGTTAGATTAGTGTTATTATAGAGACGGCAGCAGGGATATTAGTGCTGTCACTTTAAGAGCCGCACTGATCCAATATACTGATACACATGCGATTTAAAATCACATTAAAATCCCTTTCTGGGAGTGCTTTGGATGTGTGTACAGCGCGCGAGTCGTCTCACGTTTGAATGGTTTAAAGTCATTTTAAAATGCGAACAAAGGGATCCATAAGAGGGTTCGAAATTCCAAAAGTATCCGATTCCTGACCTTTCGATTCCCAACCCTAATTACAACAGTAAAGTGGTCTGTTCATTATTTTATTCAAAGTAAGTCTGCCTATCCACCTTAGTGCTTAAAGGGGTCATATAATGCCATTTTTGTACAAGCTAATATGATTCTTTAGGGTCTAAATTAAAAGTTTGTAATATACTTTAATTAAAAATTCTCATTAGTATTGTAAGAAAACACTTATTTTACCTGGTCAAAAACAGCTCTGTTTTCAGCACGCCGTTTCAGTGCATATGACTTTAAATGATCATGAGCTTTGCTCCCTCCGCCCCTCTGTTCTGTGCATACACCGTTTATAACACAATAACACAATAACCATAACGCGTTATTCAGTATAAACGTGGGATTATGAATTATATTGAGAACGTCATACATAGAAAACATGCCGTAATGTACCCTGAGTGTAAACCTTAGACGCATTCATTGTGAAGCGTGCAGCTAGCGATTTACAAGGATTAATATATTAATATAAAGTTTAATAAAACGTTACACTCACTTCCGTTCTTCTGGAGATTCCGCAGGAACACAAATATCTGGTACCGATCCTTTTTTCATGAACAGCTTCTTAGCAAATCCAGCTTTATACTGATCCTCGTTTATAAAGCAGTCTGGTGAGAAATGATTCGCACAAACATGAGAGCATTGACGTTGCTCGTGGGGAATATTCCCTTCGAAAACAAACTCAGCCACTGCGTCTTCAGCAGTTCGGATTTAGGAACATTAAAATGACTGCTGTGTTCGTTATTACACCCAAGAACAGAACACCACAATCGCTTAGACGCCATTCTGCTCATAGACAGAGCTCCAGCATATCAACAATGACCGCGCCGCGCAGACTATGATTGACAGCTCCCTCATGAGCGAGGGCGGGTCTGTGTTGAAACGCTCCTGTCAATCAACAATCGTGGGAGGGGCGTGCGAGCTTGTGACGTCACAGGCTCGAACGGCTCGATTTGAGGCAGGGGAAAACATATAAGGAGATTAAAACAAAACCACTGAATGGATTTTTATCATTATATGATGGTTGTGTACAGACACTGCCAACACACATTTCAGTACAATCAACTTGTACAAGTGCATGTACCATTATATGACCCCTTTAATATATACCGGTAATTACATAAAGGCCACCACTGAACTAATTGCATACATTTTACAAGCTTCTTAACAGATGATCAGAGTGTTTTATTCGCCTGCTCCATATCTGAGATGTGTATCATGATGTTTTTCCTTTCAGAATTACATCTACAGTTGCATGTGACATGGACCTCACCAAATACCCCATGGATGAACAGGAGTGCATGCTGGACTTGGAAAGCTGTGAGTAAGGGGAAAACCTATATCTGGCATCTCTCGTCTTCATACGTCTGATGTATACATTTTTTATAGTCATAAAAGCAATTACTAAAGGCTTAAATAGTTTTGAGATTGAGCTACATAATTATGTTAAATAAACATGTTTTGAAAGAAAATGTGCGTCTAACAAAAAGTTCATTCAGAACATCATCGAAACCCGAAAGTCCCAGCCAATACAACTTACAAACATACTATAACATAAGTGACGATTGAAAGAGAACAAGGACGATTTTCAAAAGGACAATAGTATATTCACTATTCAAATACCTCAAACACATTAAAAATAGTGTAAAAGAAATGATTTTTCAACACTTCAACATAGTCCCTAAATCATAAAGCCTGGTATAAAGCAATGATAAAATCCCTCTTTTCCTGTTTTTCATTGTTTATTAGTTCCCTTGTAGTTTTATTACTAATTAGTCCCTGATTGTTCCCAGGTGTGTCTTGTTATCCTCATTACCTCTTGTGCTCTGTAGTCGATTATTGTAATGGTTTTTTTGTTTGCGCGTGCTTGTTTGCCATACTCATTGTGTTACTGGTATTGTTTTGTTCGTTTTATTAAAAATTAAATGTAAGATTTTTGGATGAAAATATCCCAAACCCACTAGAACGATGTTATAAATTTTGTTGATTTGTGTACTTACATTATTCCAGATTTTTCTAAGAATGTTTAAATTAGGGTTTCCAACTGTCCCGAATTAGCCGGGACGTCCCGTATTTTGGGCCTAATTTATTTGTCCCGTACGGGACCTCCCTTGTCCCGATTAAATAGACTGCTACGCTGATCTAACCACTGACTGATACAACAGCAACACGACACTTGAGAATGATCACGACACCGTCATCATCCCACACACAGCCCACACTCACGCTCATCAGACCATACCAATAAGAAACTCTAAATTGAGAATTAATTATTCTTTTGGGACAAATCATTGTTTGTTGCGAACAGAATCCTCTGCTGTCTGACGTCGCTCCCGGTTCGATCCGGACTCGCGCTAACGGCAAATCCCTCGGGTGTCCGACCGGGTTTTGATTTCGGCAAATCAGTTTTGGTGAATTTAAACAACGTGATTATTTTTCATGAGTCCGACATCCAGCCACGCCAGAAAACATGAACTCTTCCTGAGGGAATAATATGCTGACGTGATTTGCTGCCCAATAAACATTTCTGATTATTAATGTTAAAAGAAGGCAGGATTCTTTGATGAATAGAAGGTTCAAAGTAGATTTATCTGAAATTTCTTTACTGTCACTTTTGATTAGGCTACTTTAATGCGTCCTTGCTGAATAAAAGTAGGGTATTACTTTCTTTAATTTCTATCAAATGTAGTGCATGTATAATGTTACAAAAGCTTTCTATTTCAGATCAATGCTATTATTTTGAAATATGGTTTGTGTGTAATGTGACCTTTTTGTGTGACCTTAAAATTAGTTTTAGAATTAAATTGTACAGAAATAGTTTAAGCAAAACAAATGTGTTTATGTCTGAGAACCTTTTAAACACATACGGACCTAAATGACATATACTGTGTGATAGGCTACAGTAGCCTACAAATATTTTGAGTGTGCCTTATTTCTGGTAAAGAACCACGATTGTCCCGCATTTTTCTTTTCTGAAGTTGACAAAATGGCAACCCAAGTTTAAATCCAGAGAAATAAGCAGTTTTATCAGTGACGTCATACCCGCGTTACCCTCAATTTAAGGTTTTATTTTGTAGAAACCAAGGAACTAACAAAGACGCTTTAATATATGATGTTTTATTAGACAGGTGAGCAACTGTTTGGATACATTCATCAACAGAAAACGAGTTTCATCACACTTAAATGTATCTAAAGGGTTAGTTAGTTCACCCCAAAATGTAAACTCTGTCAGTAATTACTCTCCCTCATGTTGTTCAACCCCGTAAGACTTTCGTTCATCTTTGGAACACAAATTAAGATATTTGTGATTAAATCTGAGAGCTGGATCACTCCTCCATAGGCTTCTAAGGGATTGAAACTGGCCGGCCCAGAAAAGTTATGAAAGACATCGTTAAAATAGTCCGAGTGACTACAGTGGCTCAACCTTAAGTTTATCAAGCGACGAGAATACTTTTTGTGCGCAAAAAACAAACAAAAATAACGACTTTATTCCACTATTCGTTTCCTTCTCTGTGGGCCTCGAGTGAGTTCACGTAGTGTAACAGCGCAGCGCTTCTGTGTCGTACGTCACACGGAGGCTCACTATTGGCCGACGCTGGTCATGTGTGTGATGATGCGTGTGACGTGCAACACAGAAGCGCTGCGCTGTTACACTATGTGTAATCTGTACTCTCAGATTTAATCAAAAATATCTTAATTTGTGTTCCAAAGATGAACGAAAGTCTTACGGGGTTGGAACTTTTCATTTTGGGGTGAACTATCCCTTTAATATGATAAAACAGTGCTGCGTTTCCCCACACACACATATTGGATTAGGATTAGAGGATTTCTGCCCGAGTCCGAAGACAACAACTCCCATGATTCAGCGAAATCAAGGCGTCATCAAGCTACGCCTTTGTTTTGAATAAACGACCTCTAGTGGCGAAAAATTACATAGTGTGCCTTTATCTGCACTTACAGTAGATCCTCATCTCCGCCTGCCTTATACTGTCCCACACGTTAAATTACATGTTAACTTTATGAAACATGAGCTAAATGATCATGCCACTGTCCACAACTGCAAAACATATCCCTCTGTGCAAAAACAAACCATGATAATCATACTTTTGACTAACTAAAATTCTGTTCCCTTTCGAGGGAACTCTACACTGCGTCGAGAATCGACTCTTTGGGGACGCTCCCTTAGCGTGCGCCTCTGAAGTAAAAATGAAACTAATCCAATCCTGATTGGCGTTGCGTCCTGACGTAACATGTGACGGCATAACCGGAAGTATAAAAGTGACACTGACGCACACACATACCAGCTATCGCTCTTCAGCAAGCGCTCTATGTTGAAACTGTCTGTCCTATTTACTGTTGTTTGTCATGAGTGAAAGTGTTATTATGGCGAGTGAGCAATTTACAAAATGTGTGCACCCCTGCCCCAGATTTATTACGGGTGGGGACACACATTCATTGTGTGTAAATTGTTTGGGAGCACAGCACGCACAGGCAGCTCTTGAGGGAGTTGCCTGTGAACATTGTGAAGCACTCCCATTAAGAGTGCTGCGCTCCCGCTTGGCTATTTTCTCTAAAGATGGTCAAGCTCGCGATCCTTGTGGTTCAGGTCCCGCGTCCGTTGAGGCGGCGCGGAGGCTTAGATCATGGGGATCGCAAAAGGATCTCGCAGATGAGAACGAGACTGCTGAGGCACTTTCTCGTTCATCATCTGCAGATTCTCTGACACTAGCTCACGGTGCAGAAGCCCGCGCTGCGGCTTCTTCTGCCCGTGACGAGTGCCCGGTGCTTGAGCTATCCGCTTCCGAGGAAGTGGATGTGCTCAGCATCGGGAGCGCGGATCATGAGTCACACTCGCCAGCTCATGTTTCCGCTTATGAGGAGTTGGTGGAGGTTGTGACGCGTGCGGTGGCCAAACTCAACATCAGTTGGCCACAAGATAAGCAGGATGAAACTCGTCAGAGTAAATTAGACGAGAGATTTCTGCAGCACCGCTCACAACCTCAGCGCCGGGGTTTGCCTTTTTTCCCAGATCTCCACGAGATCCTGGGAAAAAGCCTCACTCGTCTCGTATATCGCACAGCACTTCGTGTGATTATAGTAACGTTGTGGGTGCGAGTGAGGCGGGCTATGGCAGGATGCCGCGGGTGGAGGAAGCTTTAGCGAGCTATCTTTCTCCCGAAGCGGCATCCTCGCTTAAAACCCCGGCGCTGCCCAGCAAACCATGTAGGGACACATTCTAAATCCTCTGGCCAGAAGGGCTACCTGAGGGCCGTCATTCAGGCTAAGAGGGCTTCAGGGAAGAGGTCCTAGCCAAGTTAATAGGTCCTCCGAGGGCTGCCCCCCCCCCCCGCTGTGAGGCAACCGAGGTTGTTTTCCCAGCGGAGCCCTTTGGAAAAAGATGTCGTCCCGCCGTCACTGACGCTTCGGGTCGCATCAATTTCCAGCGAACGCACACCGTGGCGTTCGTCCCAAGAGCTTGCAAAAGAGCGCCACCTATGGTCGAAAAATCGTTCTCGTCTGCTTCCTGCCAGTTCGCTGCTTTAGAAAGTCGAGAACAATGCTCGAGAGACACCCGAGGCCAGCCTCGAGAGGCTGGTTCCCTTAGTAAATTTTTTGGAAAAGTGGCATCTTCTTCCAAATATTTCTATATGGGTCCTGAATATAATAGAAAAAGGATACAGACTGCAGTTCGGTCACCCACCTCCCAGGTTTGCAGGGGTGGTGCCGACTACAGTGGTTCCAGAACAGGCTCGGGTTATGGAACAGGAAGTACAGGCTCTTCTGGTCAAAGGGGCCATAAAAAGTGTTCCCCTACCAGACAGAGAGTCAGGGTTTTACAGCCGATACTTTATAGTTCCAAAGAAGGATGACGGGCTCAGGCCGATTTTGGATCTGAGACACTTGAATCGGTCTCTGAGGAGATTCAGGTTCAAGATGTTGACGATTCCCATCATCGTGAATCAAATCAGGTCCGAGGACTGGTTTGTCACAATAGACCTAAAGGACGCCTATTTTCATGTCTCCATCCTTCCATGTCACAGGAGGTACCTAAGGTTGCTTTCGGGGGCGAAGCATATCAATATCGGGTTCTTCCGTTCGGCCTAGCACTCTCTCCCCGCACGTTCACGAAGTGTATGGATGCAGCTCTGGCTCCTCTCAGACTCCAGGGTATTCGTATACTGAATTACATCGATGACTGGCTTATACTGGCTCAGTCTCGAGAAATGGCGGTTCGGCATCGAGTTGTCATCCTTGGCCACATTCAGAAATTGGGGTTGAGACTCAACACGAAAAAGAGCGTGTTGGCACCAGCTCAGTAAACAACGTTCCTGGGTGTGGTATGGAATTCGGTTACGATGCCGGCACACATGTGTCCCGCACGTGTCCAGTCCATCCTATCTATGGTTTCAAGAGTAAAGCTAGGTCAGGCCATCACTGTAAAGCAATTCCAAAGAATGCTGGGCCTCATGGCAGCGGCATCCAACATCATTCCTTTGGGCCTTCTACATATGAGGCCTCTTCAGTGGTGGCTAAAAGCCAAGGGGTTTTCTCCCAAGGGGAATCCATTTCGTATGATCAGAGTAACGCGCAGATGCCTTCGTTCTCTTCAGATATGGAAGAAACCTTGGTTCCTGTCCCAAGGGCCAGTGTTGGGAGCGTCATGTAGCCGAAAAATCGTTTCGACAGACGCATCCCTTTCTGGCTGGGGCGCGGTCATGGACGGCCTCTTTGCCAGGGGTCTGTGGCAGGACCATCATTTATCTTGGCACATAAACTGTCTAGAAATGATGGCTGTGTTCAGGGCTTTGAGGAGCTTCCTCCCAGACATCAAAGGTTACCATGTCCTAGTACGATCAGACAATACGTCAGTGGTAGCCTATCTGAACCGACAAGGGGGAGTCAGATCGCGCCCTCTGTGCAGACTGGCGCATCAGATTATTCTTTGGTCCCAAGGGAAAATACGCTCCATCAGAGCAATGTATATTCCGGGGGTTCAGAATCAGGGAGCAGACATCCTGTCGAGGCAGGGGCTGAGGCCCGGGGAATGGAGACTTCATCCAGATGTGGTGAAGGTGATATGGGAGAGGTTCGGACCTATGGAAGTGGATCTATTCGCGTCTCGAGAGACGTCCCACTGCCCACTTTGGATGTCCCTCTCACATCCAGCCCCACTGGGGTTGGATGCCATGGTACAGGCCTGGCCGAGGCTTCGCCTGTACGCATTTCCCCCGATCGCTCTGCTCCCGGGAGTCCTGGAGAGGGTTCGTCAAGAGGGCATCAGTCTACTTCTGGTTGCCCCAATGTGGCCGACCCGAGTGTGGTTTTCAGACCTAATATCACTCCTGATAGCTCCGTCATGGCAGATTCCTCTGAGGAGGGATCTGTTGTCTCAGGCGGAGGGCACAATCTTCCACCCTCGCCCGGAGCTGTGGAAGCTGTGGGTCTGGCCTCTGAGGGGGTTCAGTACCTAAATGCTGGTCTATCAGCCGGGGTGGTTGAAACCATACTTAGCTCTAGGGCTCCATCTACTAGGAGATTATATGGCCTTAAGTGGAATGTGTTTGTCACTTGGTGTAGAGAACATGAGTTAGATCCAGTCAACTGCCCGGTGGCTTCAGTTCTGGAATTTCTTCAAGATCGTTTCTCTGCGGGTCTCTCCCCTTCCACGCTTAAGGTGTACGTGGCTGCCATTGCGGCTTTCCACGCACCTGTAAGTGATGGGCCTCTGGGGAGGCACCATTTGGTCATTCGTTTTCTCCGTGGTACTTGGAGGATGAGACCGGCAACCAGGTCTAGGGTTCCTGCCTGGGACCTGGCTATAGTTCTTGAAGGGTTATCCCTGGCCCCCTTCGATCCTTTAGAGTCGGCTTCGCCTAAGGATTTAACGCTAAAAATGGTATTTCTCTTAGCTATTACCTCACTTAAGAGGGTGGGAGATCTCCAAGCCCTGGCAGTGACACCAGCTTGCTTGGAGTTTGCCCCTGGCAGAGTGAAGGCCTTTTTGCACCCGAGTCCGGGCTACGTGCCTAAAGTACCAACTAATACGGCTCGATCTACAGTCCTTCATGCATTTCATCCGCCTCCTCATGTGTCGGCAGAAGAAGAGAAGCTCCATTTGCTCTGCCCTGTCAGAGGCTTGAGCGTGTACCTCGAGAGGTCCTCTTCTTGGAGAAGGTCGGACCAATTATTGGTGTGTTTTGGGTCACCTAATAAGGGGCTCCCGGCATCAAAGCAAACGATTAGTAATTGGATCGTTCAGGCGATTACTTCAGCTTACAGGGTGCGCGATATGCCTTCACCTTTAGCTATTAGGGCTCATTCTACTAGAGGTATGGCTTCCTCTAGGGCCCTCCTTTCGGGAGTGCCCCTGCAGGAGATCTGTGAGGCAGCCGGCTGGGCTACTCCACACACTTTTATTCGGTTCTACAGTCTTCACCTTCCCAGTACGCCTGGCGCACATGTACTTAGTCCTTGCTGAGTGCCTGAAACAGTTTCACTCCGGGACAGGCTAATTCGGTGTGTGGCCTAGTGGGCACTCGTTCCCCAAAGAGTCGATTCTCGACGCAGTGTAGAGTTCCCTCGAAAGGGAACGTCTCGGGTTATGACTATAACCCTTGTTCCCTGAGAAGGGAACGAGACACTGCGTCGTTCTGCCACGCCCCTTGAGGCCTTAGAGCGTCTTGCTTCATCGCGAGGCTGGTATGTGTGTGCGTCAGTGTCACTTTTATACTTCCGGTTATGCCGTCACATGTTACGTCAGGACGCAACGCCAATCAGGATTGGATTAGTTTCATTTTTACTTCAGAGGCGCACGCTGAGGGAGCGTCCCCAAAGAGTCGATTCTCGACGCAGTGTCTCGTTCCCTTCTCAGGGAACAAGGGTTATAGTCATAACCCGAGACGTTTTCTAGTGATTTCTTACATATTCCTTTCTATCCTGTTCTCATATGAAACATAATAACATATTTAGAACAGCAAGTTTAAAAGACCAATTGAAGTGTCATGTGCAAACTGAGATGTGTTTTGTCTCCTGTTGTTGGGTTTGCAGACGGATACTCTTCAGAAGACATTGTGTATCACTGGTCAGAGAGTCAAACACTCATCCATGGACTGGACAAACTGGAGCTGTCCCAGTTCACCATCACTGATTATCGCTTTGTCACGGAGCTGTTGAACTTTAAATCCGGTGAGGCTTTTCATCGTCTGATATATCTGATTTAACTGAACTCTACCAATACAGGTGAAACTCGAAAAATTTGAATATCGTGCAAAAGTTCATTTATTTTAATAATTCAACGTAAAAGGTGAAACTAATATATTATATAGACTCATTACATGCAAAGTGAGATATTTTCAAGCCTTTATTTGTTATAATTGTGATGATTATGGCTTACAGTTTATGAAAACCTTTTCACAATATTCTAATTTTGAATTTGTGTTTTTCATAAGCTGTAAGCCATAATCATCACAATTATAACAAATAAAGGCTTGAAATATCTCACTTTGCATGCAATGAGTCTATATAATATATTAGTTTCACCTTTTACGTTGAATTATTGAAATAAATTAACTTTTGCACGATATTCTAATTTTTTGAGTTTCACCAGTATATTATCTGCTAATGCTGTGGCAACAGTTGTTGTCATTTCAATGGTTTTAATCAGTTTTGTTTACTATCACATATTTTAAAGACAAGTATTGTCATTCTTGAAACAGCGGGGAGATTTCCACGTCTCAGCTTACGATTCGAACTAAGAAGAAACCGAGGAGTTTACATCATCCAGTCCTACATGCCCTCCATCCTACTGGTTGCCATGTCATGGGTTTCATTCTGGATCAGCCAATCAGCTGTGCCGGCAAGAGTGTCTTTAGGTCAGTGTTTCAGTGTTAACTCGTCTAACAGAGACCGTTCTCAATACTCTAGCTATCCTTCTGGCAAGGTTCTCTTAATGTTACACAGACGTTTTTCCTGTAACATTAATAGAATGTTCATTTAATGACAATATCGGGTCTTTAATAATGTATGGAAGCTTGTTTCCGCCACAGAATAAAAAATCTAAAAGGTAATTGCGACTTTTTATTTCACAATTCTGACATTTTATCTCAGAATTGCGTAATATAATGTCGCAATTGCTATTAAGTCAGAATTGCAAGATATAAAGTCAGAATTGCAAGATATAGACATGCATTTCAGAAAAAAAGTGAGTTTTGAGTTTATTTCTCGCAATTCTGACTTTTTATCTCACAATTCTGACTTTGCTGTATATCGCAATTCGGACTTTCTGTTCAATTCTGACTTTATATCTCGCAATTCTGACTTTATATCGCAGTTCTGACTTTAAATCTCGCAATTCTGACTTTATATCTCACAATTCTGACTTTATATCGGAGTTCTGACTTTATATCTTGCAATTCTGACTTTCTGTTCAATTCTGACTTTATATCTCGCAATTCTGACTTTATATCTTGCAATAACGCAATTCTGACTTTATATCACGCAATTCTGACTTTCTGTTCAATTCTGACTTTCTATCTCGCAATTCTGACTTTCTATCTCACAATAACGCAATTCTGACTTTATAACGCAATTCTGACTTTCTGTTCAATTCTGACTTTATATCACGCAATTCTGACTTTATATCACGCAATTCTGACTTTCTGTTCAATTCTGACTTTATATCTCGCAGTTCTGACTTTATATCTCGCAATTCTGACTTTATATCTTGCAATAACGCAATTCTGACTTTATATCGCAATTCTGACTTTCTATCTCGCAATAACGCAATTCTGACTTTATATCACACAATTCTGACTTTATATCTCACAATTCTGACTTTATATCGCAATTCTGACTTTATATCGCAATTCTGACTTTATATCGCAGTTCTGACTTTATATCTCGCAATTCTGACTTTCTGTTCAATTCTGACTTTATATCTCGCAATTCTGACTTTCTATCTTGCAATAACGCAATTCTGACTTTATAACGCAATTCTGACTTTCTGTTCAATTCTGACTTTATATCTCGCAATTCTGACTTTATATCACGCAATTCTGACTTTCTGTTCAATTCTGACTTTATATCTCGCAGTTCTGACTTTATATCTCGCAATTCTGACTTTATATCTTGCAATAACGCAATTCTGACTTTATATCGCAATTCTGACTTTCTATCTCGCAATAACATAATTCTGACTTTATATCACACAATTCTGACTTTCTGTTCAATTCTGACTTTGTATCTCGCAATTCTGACTTTATATCGCATTTCTGACTTTATATCTCGCAATTCTGACTTTATATCACGTAATTCTGACTTTATATCACATTTCTGACTTTATATCTCGCAATTCTGACTTTATATCACGCAATTCTGACTTTCTGTTCAATTCTGACTTTATATATATCGCAATTCTGACTTTCTATTGCAATTCTGACTTTCTATCTCGCAATAACGCAATTCTGACTTTATATCACGCAATTCTGACTTTCTGTTCAATTCTGACTGAAATCGCAATTTTTGGGAATGTTAGCTAAACATTCGTAGAACATATTTCTCTTTTTATAACACATTCTATAACATATTTCTGAATTTTATAACATTTAGAGTTTGTTAAATTAAAACTTCACCAAAGTATTTTTTTGAATATCAGTCAAGTTAAATGAGAACATTTAACACAATCACACACACAAATGAACCTGATGAGTTGAATGAATATTGGTGTTCGGTGTGTCCTAGGAATCACGACGGTGCTCACCATGACAACGCTGATGGTCAGTGCTCGTTCATCACTGCCCCGCGCTTCTGCCATCAAAGCTCTGGACGTGTATTTCTGGATCTGCTACGTCTTCGTCTTCGCTGCCTTGATCGAATACGCTTTTGCTCACTATAATGCAGACTACAGCAAGAAGGAGAAAGCCAAAGTCAAGACGAATAAGAGTTCAGAGGTACAATAACATAAATTAAAAAAGTGTGAAACTCTGTACTAACTGTATGCTATAATTGACCCATCTCAGAACCAGATTTACCAACAACCTTCTTTTGGCGTTAAAAAACGACTGTCAAGATTTACCACATATTAGTAGCGATGAAAAGACGTGGACTGGGTTATTTCTGCGGCTGACCGTATCGCATAAGTATTTGTAGGAGTTTCCCTTTAAGATGCTTAATGTAAGTGAGGAGAGTATTATAATGAATCATGCAACATGATTTACTAGGGTTTGCGCTCGTCAAT